TGCAACAGATTATAGACACACAGGCTCTGCCCACCATGGGTCATGGATGATGGGTTCTAGTCAGATGTTCAGGTCTTTGCCCCTTTCTTCCTTCTCTGCCTGTCTTAGTCTCATCAAACCCTGATTCTCCTTCCCTGATAATTTATATCCCTAGAGGTATGTATGCATACACTCCAGTGTAAGTACCCCTTCTAGAAAGAATATACACAGCAATTCCTTTTGTTCATCATCTTTCAAATATGACTCATCTGTATTGTAGGTCTGCTTGTGAACATGGTTTAAATAACACTAATCATTTACTGAGCAGTTACTAATGTTCACAACCCAAAGAAGCAGATGATATTTACTGTTTATACCTACTTTATAGATGAGGAAGTTGGAACTGGGAGAGGCCAATCACTTGCCTGGAGTCACACAGCAAGGAAACTGCAGAGCTAAAATTTGGAACTGAGATGGATTGGTTCAATGTGGATTACCCCTTAACTGTACTGTTCCCCATAAATTTAAAGGCAATCCAACACTTATGGAGATACTTCCTCTGGCACGGAGCCTAATAGGTTAATAGGTTAATAACATACCTGATTAGAGACTTTAAGAACATATTTACATTTCCTTGCCAAGAGAATGTAACAACACAGCTGATCCCTTTGGCTGGAGCAGTTCTAAATAGACATTGAAAGCAGCCCACAGGGTTTACAGAAGAAATGGCCACATACTAAGGGAACTTTAGCTCACACATGTAGACATCTTCTCCTACCCCACCCATCACTCAGTTATTAATCGTCTCTCAACTGGTTACCTTATCCTTAGAATGGAGCCCTGTGTCACACACTCCTATCATCTTCCAGATCAATAGAGGTATCCTCAAGCCCGCCCCATCTTTCCTTTTCTAAAGTAAATATTCTGGAATACACTGATCTCAGGAGCACTTTACACACATTCAATACATCTAAGAGAGTTGAACCTGTCTGTTCCCCCAAAATAACGATTCATGGAGGCAGGAATTAAGTATCTGCCTGAGCCTCACATTGTCTAATGGAGAGGATGACCTCTGTTTCCTTCATCAATACTGGCTTCCCTGCCATCCCTCATTGTTCTCAGGCTGAGTTGGGTGTGTAAATCTCTTAGGTGTACTATTCAGAGGCAAACCTAATTTGTAGAAATTGTTCTCTGAAACCCAGGAATAAACTCTTGGCTATTTTCAGACAAAGATAGAGGTAGGAGTCTGTAGAAATGAGCTGGGAAAGAAGCTTAAAATACTCCACATTCCAGAAACACCCTCCCTTCCCCCCAGGAGATGGCTTTATTCCCACTCAGTTTCTTTGCAAAGTAGAGTCAAAGGAGCTGCTGCTCAGAGCCCTGTAGCTGGTGCTAGCTGTGTGGGTTTAGACAAATGGCTTAATTCTCTCAGCACCAACATTCTAGTCTGTGAAATGGGGTTGACACCACCCCCTACTGTCTACGTTATTGTAAGGATTAAGATATGCAAATCAAGTCCACTCTGTTGGCTCCAACCTGTAATCCTAGCTACTCCAAGACGCTGAGATCTAAGGTTCCTTGTTCTGAGCCATTCTAAGCCAGCCCAAGCAGAAAAGTCAATGAGACTCTCATCTCTATTTAATCAACAAAAAGCCGGAACTGAAACAGGAAGCGTGGCTCAAGTGATACGGTACCAGCCTTGAGTTGAAAAAGCATAGCAAGAGTATAAGGCTGGAGTTAAAGTCTCAGTACTGGTACAGGAAAAAAAGAAAAAAAAAAAACTTGCCAAACTGTTAATGCCCTATCATTTTATCAAATGCCCTTGAATTTTTTCCAAAGTCTACTAAGGGAAGAAAGTACCATGAATCAGTTTCAACAAACAACCTCTAAAAAGGGATGTAGTAGAGCACAAAAAACCTAAATGGAGTTGTGGCTCATGTGGTAGATCATTATCGTTGAGCAAAATTAACTCAGGAGCAGTGCTCAGGCTCTGAGTTCAAGCCCTATGGCAAGCACCAAAAAAAAAAAAAAAAAGTATTCTAGTAATCCAAGTCTGCTTAATCCAACACCTACTTAGGTTTGTGACCCGGGAAAGGCAAGTGGGGGAGCCAAGTGGAAAGTTTATCTAACAAGAGACTAAACTTGAAATTTTTTTTTTTTTGTCGGTTGTGGGGCTTGAACTCTGGGCCTGGGCGCTGTCCCTCAGCTCTTCAGCTCAAGGCTAGCGCTCTACCACTTGAGCTACAGCGCCACTTCCGGTTTTCTGGTGGTTTATTGGAGATAGGAGTCTCACGGTCTCTCCTGCCCAGGCTGGCTTTGAACCGCAATCCTCAGATCTCAGCCTCCTGAGTAGCTAGGATTACAGGCGTGAGCCACCAGTGCCCGGCTGAGATGAGTTTTTTTTTAATTTTTAATTTTTTTTGTCGGTCATGGGGCCTGAACTCTGGGCCTGGGCGCTGTCCCTCAGCTCTTAGGCTCAAGCTAGCTCTCTTTCACTAGAGCCACAGTGCCACTTCTGGCTTTTTCTGCTTATGTGGTGCTAAGGAATCAAACCCAGGGCCTCATGCATGCAAGGCAAGCACTCTACCACTGAGCCACCTTCCCTGCCCCGCACACTTTTTTTTTTTTGTGGATCCTGGGGCTTGAACTCGGGGGTCCGAGTGCAGTTCCTAAGCTCTTTTGTTCAAGGTTAATGCTCTACCACTTTGAGCCACAGTGCTACATCTAGTTTTATTGTGGCTAATTGGAGCCAGCCCAGGTTGGCTTCGAATCACCATCCTCAGATCTCAGCCTCTTAAGTAGCTACAAGTGTGAGCCACCAGCACCAGGCTTCACAGACTTTTTTCTTCTGCCTAGGCTGTCTTTTAACTGCAATAATCAGATCTAGAGTAGCTAGGATCTCAGCTCTGAATCGCTGGGATTACAGGTGTGAGCCCCTGGTGCCTGGCTTCTCTCACCTTTCATTTGCAACAAGTTTACAAAGACACTATGTGCAGGAAAGAGAGTCTTAGTTTTCCTTTCATTAATTGAAGAAAGAAAAGTCACACATTACACAAAAAAAATTCTGAGAGAACTCTTCAGAAGACATCTTGCTACCAGGTACCAGTGGCTCACACCTGTAATCGTAGCTACTCAGGAGGCTGAGATCTGAGGATCCAGGCTCAAAGCCAGCCCGGGCAAGAAAGTCTGAGACTATTATCTCCAATTAACCACCAGAAAACCAAAAGTGGCACTGTGGCTTAAGTGGTAGACTGCTCGCCTTGAGCTGAAGAGTCAGACAGCGCTCAGGCCCAGAGTTCAAGCCCCATGACCACCACCACCACCAACAACAAAAGACATTGTGCAAAAGGTCATCATAGCACTAAGATAAGTCCTATCCGGAAGAATATAGGACTTGCTGGGCACTCGTAGTGTATGCTTGTAACCCTAGCTATGCAAGAGTCTAAGATCTAAGCATCACAGTTCAAAAGCTATCCAGGCAGACAAATCTGAAAGACTCTCACTTTCAATTAATCAGCAAAAAGCCAGACATGAAGGTGTGACTCAAGTGGTAGAGCACATGCCTTGAGCAAAAAAGCTAAGCAAAGCTGGGTGCCAATGACTCAAGCCTTAATTCTAGCTACTCAGGAGACTGAGATCTAAGGATCATGGTTCAAAGTCAGCCTGGGCAGGAAAATCTGTGAGGCTCTTATCTCCAATTAAACACCAAAAGCCAGAAGTGGAACTGTAGCTCAAGTAGTATAGTGCTAGCTGTGGGCATGAAAGCTCAGGGACAGCACCCAGGCCCTGAGTTCAGCTGGCACCAAAAAACCCAAAGAACAAATAAACAAAAACAACAACTTCATAATTTAGAAAGAAGTCCAAAGTCTATTATTGCTTTGTTGATTATGGGCAAAATCCTGGGAAATAACATGTATCCCCATCTCACAGGAGGTAAGGAAACTAAGACTCAGAAAGACATGATGAAAAGACCCAGAAGTGGTAGAGCTGGGATTTTTGAGCTTTCTGAAGCACAAATTCAGCACTCTTTGCAATTCACTAGAGAATTCATTTTCATGGAGTACTGAGCTGACATTGTTTAGGCATGTCTGAAATGGCATTTCAGGAACCCAGAGTGGAATGACCAGGTTAGCAACACGGTTAGAGAAATGCAGCCGTCTGGGTCACTTGTGGCTACCCTGAAATAGTTTTCCTTGTATCCAGAAGATTCAGATGGTGTAAGCTGTCCCCACTGTGACATATTTGAGAAATCTTTTATTAGAAGATGTCCCAGAAGGCAACAGTTTAAAATCAGGCAATCAGAAATCACAACTAAATACAAAATTTCAGGTAAACTTGCCTTTCAAAATAAATCAGACCCTTGCAACAAGAGAATTGCCCAAGAGGTTTTTTTTTTCCTTGTACAAAAACAGTTAACACCACTTTGCAAAAGGCATACAAAAATACAGTATAAAACAAAACAAAACAACTCCCCCAGCATAATACCCAGCAGCAGCTTATAAAACAGAAACTACTCAGGTGAAACATCAGTAACTTGTTCCATTCCTACACTCTCAAGACAGTTCTAGAAGTCAGTTGGCTCCTAAAAATCCTGCTTCCACAGTTTCAGAAGCTATTTCTGAAATTTCCACAGAAGTTCTCAGAGGCTAGGAAGCAACCTCAGAAACAGATCACCATACACAGTAGGTTAGGAAGTAGCAGCTGGTTTTTCAGAGCCACAAATAGTGCTGACCACCTCTACCCTGCCCCTACTGTCTAACCCAGAGCCAGCAGGAATCTGCTGTCTGTGCAGAGTTCTGGAAGGGCTGCTCCTTCTTCCAGGCCAAGCTGAACAGCTTCTGAGGTTGGCCACATGGCACCTGCTGGGTTAGGTAGGTTCTCAGGCTGGAGGGCACACCTGGGTTTCCCTCAGAGCTGCAAGTCCAGCTGGGGCAATTTATAAGGGTTGGTTAAGCAGAGCTCCTGAAGGTGCCTTTACAACCACCAGGAAGCGAGTCCACCTTCTGAACCAATGGGTGAGTTCCAAAAGCTCTGCCTAGCACCTTAGTAAGGCCCAGGTTCTGGGAAAGGGATCTGACTCATATCACCCTGGTAGAGAACCAGGCTGGTGGCTTGCAGAGCCAGCAAGCTTCTTGGAGTTGCATGGTGAGGACAGGTTTGCATGGTTCCAGTAGAATTTCAAATAGAGTCAAGGACGGAGACAAGAGGCAGGTAAGAAAGAGGAAATGGTACAGAGCTTCCTTCTGAGATGCCTTACACCTCCCTGCCTTAAGATTCCAAGATGGGCCTTAAATGGCCCTGGGGAAATAACTGGGTAAGGAACAAGTTCAAGAGTCAGGACTCCAAGCCTTCCTCGGGTCTCGGGCTAGGACCGATTTTCCCTGTGTTTTGGGGAAACATTTCTGACCTGTGGGTAAGGATGCAGTAGAGCCCATTGCATAACAAAGGCAGAATGAAACAAACAACAAAAAAAAAACGTCCCTTGTGGGGGTGGAAAGGTCCCTCTCTCAGAGGAAAGGGCCCTATGCGCTCTGACTTGAAGAACTCAGAGGCCAGGCTCTTTAAATGTTCTCAAGGTGGCAGCATTGAGGAAGAATGGGAGAGGTGTTGCCCAACATCATTTTATATATATTTATATATATATATATGTATATGGATATATATATATATATATACACACACACACATATATTATATAAAGTTTCCACTCCTCAGCTACTGTAAAGTGTCTGACAGTGAGGTAATGGTCCATTGTTGATCAAGTCTGTGAGCTAGTCTTCACTCAGGACAGCTCGTGTGTCTCTTGGAAAAAGGAGCCTCAGAGAGCATCCAGGCCCAGCTGTCCTTGTGTCACCCCCAGAGACAGCAGTGGGAGCATCCTTTCCTAGCCCAAAGAGCCTGCCGAGTGTGAGATTTCATGCAGGCTGGAGCCCCTGACAACGTCCACCACCTGTTGCATAGCATCTGTCAGCCTTTTCTTCAGAGCTAGTGAGCTAGGCAGACCTCAAGACTCCTCAGTCAGCTGCCTGCTGAGAAAGCCAGAGGCGCCAGGGAGGACACAGCACTCCCCATTGGTGAGGGAGGAGGGAGAGCTCGGTTTCAGGGTTTCCAAGAATGCAAGCCCTTATTGTGTGTGCACCGGCTGCAATGCATTCTGGGACCTACTGTTCAGACCATCGAGCCTGGAACCAAAATGTGCAAATTACTAGAGGGGAAAGGGAGGTTAAAAAATAAACGCGTGTCTTTGTAAGACAAAAGAGTCAGGCTTTTTGATCAGTTAGTAGCCACTGAGGTATGCGATTCTTTTCTGCAGTTGCTGCTGCCGGCACCGGAGCTGCCTTTTCTCGGTAGCCATCCTCTTCTCAGCTCCAACCAGGGCTTGTAAGTATTCCAAGGCCTTGCTTAAGATCACTACTTTGGGGGCCTTGGAGCAGCTGGCCAGGGTAGGAACCTGGTCCCTCAATGCCAAGAACCTTGAGCGAAGGTCATTCCGCCTTTTGCGCTCCAAGAAGTTATGGTTCTTCCTCTTGGTCACATCCTCAGTATCAGAACTGACAGGTTTGGGATGGCAGGACTGAGGAGTCTCACTTTCTACAGGTTCAGGGCTCACGATTTCTTCATCTTCTTCATCCTCCTTTTCCTCGGGGGTGTCTTTTTCCAAAGTCTCTTCCTGGGGATCTCTCTCTGGAGCCTCTTCCTGGGAGCAACTTTCTGGGGGGAAACGAGCCGCATAGTTGTGCTGCTGCTGATGGATGGATATATGGAAGCGTTTCATGCAGGGGTCCAGGGGGTCTGCTCGCACAGTGATGGTGACTGGCTTCCGTAGACTCAGAGACTGTCTCTTCTCCACCGTCACGACGTCGATTTCTTCACCCTCTGTCCAAGAAGAGAGATGAAATGCATCTATTAGAAATGCATGCACAAACCCTACACCCTTAGCTTTCTACGGAGGGGCTACATAGAGACATTTTTCTCAATGTTGATTATCAACAAATCGAAGTGAGGAAAAAGGTGGTTGATTCATTTGTATTTGAGGTAAGGGCAGAGTGAAGGGAAAACAAACAAGAAGGAAAAATATTCTCCAATTTCCTTTTGCACAGCAAGGCTTAGAAAAGAACAAAAGGCAGACCCAAGCCAACAGCCCCCAGTCGGCACAAGCTCTCCCCTCCCCCACTCAGGGGATGGAGAGAAAGAGCTACCGGCCTGGGACAAAGTTTAGCTATAAAGATCTTCCCCAGTCGGGCTCTTTCATGCCCCATCAGAATTGTAAATGAGGGGTCTGTGGGCAGAGCTGCCCTTTGTTCCTGCCCAGAACAGCCTGCACTTGGGAATTGTTACTTTTCACAAGTTATAAATCCTATTATTCTCCCACCTCTCTATTCTGCTATCCTTTCAGAGGAATATGCACAGAAGGGAGGGCCACAGGCAGTCCTTCTCACCCACAGAGGGGAGAGGAAAGGTTTCCCTTAGGGGCGTTTTGCTCCTGGGTTCAATGGGTTTCTCGAGTCATCCATCATTTATAGGTCGTCTACCCCACCCCCTTCTTGGGACCAGAAGAAGGTTAGAATTGGAATCACAGGTCACTGAGAGCTGCAGGAACTTTACAAAGGTACAAGTGACCTTTCCAAGCTACCTACAGCAGAGGTAGAAAATGAGGAGCAGAAGAATAACCCTGGATCCAAACCCCCAGAGACACTTGGCCATTTCCCTACCATTCCCTGGCTTGACTCTCTATTAGATTAACCCAACCAGGGAAGAGACAATTAGAAGAAAAACCATTCTGCTTCCCACATTTTGCAGCCCCCACACAGAAGGCTACCTTAATGCATTCTGGCCCCACAAGAGAAGAGCTTGGTTCTCAGCCTCTTTTGCATATCAGGAAGCTTGAGCCCCTTTGTCAGGAAGGCTTCCATTGTGTGGACAATCACATTATTTCTCCATTAATAAAACCTGACCATTCAGCCCTCCTGGCCCCAAAGCTGGTGATTGGCTGGCTAGGCTGTGTTTGGAATGTTGTTTTACTCAGCCCCTAGCTCCTATTGGCTGAGCTCTGCAGTCAGTCACACTCCCCACCCCCCCTCATTGTTTGCAATCTGTTGCATTTTGTTCTAGGCCATGTGGCCAGAGAGTGAACCTGAAGCCCACAAACAGGTTCAGGTTAAAGAGCAGATCAGAAAACGATTCAGAAGGCTTTCCTCTATCACAAACCTTTACTTTTCAGTGTTAAACCTCAAGGCTGGTAAAAAGCCATGTAAGGAAGAAATCATTTATGACCTGCTTCACTTTTCAAAGTAGTTCTCTGCCTCTCCCAGATAAGGAACCATCTTCAGAGGGACAATCCCATTGCAAAGGGAGAAACTGAGAGACCCAGATCAGCCACATCTCCTTCCTTATCACTTCGGTGATGTTCTGGGTCTTAGACTTCTAAACTCCTGAAACAATACTTTCTACTCTATTATTCCACCAGCCCTTGTGCAGATGCACCTTTATTGGTTTCTTGATTTCAAGACTCCCGTTCCAGCTATTAAACAAACACAAGCTCTTGATGAAAAGAGAAAGCAGGCTAAAAAAAGACCCTAATAGTGAAAGGGGAGGGAGGGTGGAGTATCTTAAGTTTTTGTTATTCTCACTCTTTCCCTTTAGTGCATGACAACTTCCATACCCCATATCCAAGTTCTCAAAACACTCTTGTTAGTTATTCTTTAAAGCTAGTTTTTTTTTTCTGTCTTGATTATGTGCCAATAACCTCAGTCTGCACTCTACAAGAGTACCCTCTACAATTCTTCTCATGGGTGGAGTGGACTAAGAAAGAGACTGGGATGAGAACATCCTCTGGTGATAGAAGACACCAGTCTGCCCTCAGTGAGGTTTGCATTTGTGTCAAGTATTGGGGGAGGGAGTCTTGGAGCTCCACAGCTATGGCCTCAGTACCTCATCCGCACATTGGTACAGAAAAGGGGCCAGGAGCCAGTGAACTTTTGTTAAACTCAGGAGAGCTGCTGAAGCCCTTAGATGTATTAGGAGGAAGCCAAGACATCTTTGTACCTTATGTCAAAGCAGCAGGTGAGGTATAACCTTTCTCAGATAAGCTAAACATCAAGCAAGAATTGCCTGATTGGGATAGAGGGCTGGGAGAAAAAGCTGGCTAGATGGTATAAAGCTAGGCTCACTGCTAGTGGTTTCCTATCTCTAAAGCCTCCGTTTGTCATCTGTTAAAGAGAAACATTTATTCCTCTCTTACCGGTCTCACAAGTGATGTACAGTGGTAAAGGAATGTACAATAGGAAATCATTCCCTCTTTTCCTCTTCCAGGAGGAAACTATTGGCATTTTAAAGTAAAGCAGACAGGGGATGGAGATTTTTGCTTGTTTGTTTTAAAGGATGAAGGTTTTGGCTTTGCAAAAAAGCTCCTCAGCTTCTTCTCTCCCTAACGGAGTGTGTGAGTTTCCCAGGAGGAAAAAAAAAAAAAGGCAGTAACAAAACAGCTTCAAGCTTGGAGTGACTCCTAAGGGACTTCTTCCAACCTTCCAAGGACAGAAATCCCTTACAGTCCAGCTGGAGTATTTATTATTCTTTAAGCACCAACCCTCACCGAGTCTCCCTTGTCCCCAGAGGCTCCAATCACCATCTGAGGGACGCTGGCTCCCTCCTCACTTCTCCAAACTGTTTACCAACACACCCACGTGCCAGACAGACACTGCTAGGGGCTACCCCGACAGCTTCAGCTAGAAAAAAAAGGGGGGGAGGTGATAGCAAGGCTTGAGAAGAGCCAATGCTCGCGACCTCAGACGGTGTTAAAGGTTTGGCCACGCATGGGGGTGCCCCCTCCCCCTTTTAGGTGGCCTGGGGTCGTCCTTACCCGAATCGCTGGGGCTCTCAGACCCCGAGCAGGCCTGGGGTTTGGGCTCGCTCAGCTGACAGGGGGTGGCAGGCGCCGGGGTGCTGGCTTCTAGGCTGGGAGTGCAGTCCGGGGTGGCGGGTGCCTTGGGCGGGTTCCCCCGCGGCACGCCAGGGGTGAGCCGGTCGCTCACCACTCTCTCCAGCCGTTCCCGGGCGGAGAAGCCGCTCCACATGCAGTCACGGCGGATGATGGAAGCGTAGTTCCTGCCCCAAGCTTTCGAATGACCCCGACATTCCGCTTCGTCCCCTCCGGGCCACGGCTCCGGAGGACCAGCCCCGGAGGTTGGGTCCCCGGCGGCGCCGAGATCGGAGCCCCAAGGCGGCGACGTGGGGGGCGACGGCACCAGCTCGAATTTCTTCCAGATGTCCTCGCTGGGCGCCGTGGAGCGGTAGAAATCCTCCCCGCAGTCATAGTCGTAGAAATAGTGCTGGTAGGAGTCGAAGTCCATGTCCGCTCCCTGCGGGAGGGCAGCGGGGACGTGCAGACTAGGGTACCCGCCCGAAGGAAGAGGCGACCCCAGGCTCCCCGGCGCCCCCGGCTAGCCGGGCTCCGGTCCCTCCCCAACCCCACCACCGGGCTTGCTGTCTGCGCCTTGCCCTCCCGTCCCCGAGCGCCTGGCCCCGGGTCACAGCGCCCCGGGAAGCGGCTCCCAGCGCGCGGACCAGGCAGCGGGGAGCGAGTTCAAAGCAAACTTTGCCAGCACCGCCCGCCGCGGAGCGCGGCTCCCAGGGCCCCTCTGGGCCGGGCCGAGCGGGGGCGCGCGGCGTTCACTGGGCAGCCGGCAGTCAACTAGCGTCCCCCTCCTCCTCCCCCGTCCCCCCCGCCACCCCACTAGGGCCCGAGACCATCCCCGGGACCCGCGCCTATGCCTGGGGCCACCCGCAGTCTCACCTCGCTCCAGCCGCCCGCCACCTGGAGCGGACTGGCTCCCCGCCGGCTCGGGGCCGCCTGGCAGCCTGCACACACACACATGCGCGCCGCCGAGCGCGCGCC